CCAACCTTTCGGTTAACAGCCGAATGCGCTAACTGATTGCGCCACAGAGACAGCGCTTGCAGAAAGTGCTCAGATCTGCAGAGTTGCAGGATTTTTGTCTCTCGCTATCTCCCCACTTATACAGTTCCCACTTTAACACTGCTTCCGGTAAGAAGTAGAGATAGCTGTGAGGAGGATGAACCTTTAAGCATCAGCAGAGTGGCGCAGCGGAAGCGTGCTGGGCCCATAACCCAGAGGTCGATGGATCGAAACCATCCTCTGCTAAAGTGTTTTGCTTGGGTTTTGTGTAATCTTTGAGATTTAACTGGCAGTCAAATTTCACACCATTTGTTGAGAGAAATTTGCTCTTCTGTGGTTTCTCATTATTTTTGTTTTCTTACCATTCTTATCTCAGCTTTTCTTGGTTTTGAGTCAAAGGGTGGTCGTTTGCTAGTTTCAAGAGATTTTGCATTTTTCCACTCTTTCAACATATCTGCGATTAAACAGATTTTAGACTGTTTTCATGGAAGTCTTCTTTTGTCCTCTTTTCACGTATTTAATGATTTATTTATTTTTCTCTTCAATCTGCAGTTGGGGTGTGCATGTAAGGATTTTTCGCAGGAAAGGTAAAGATTATTTCACATTTTTTTACCTTTTTCACTCTTTTCTTTTTGGTCTATGTATGCTTTGCCCATTTCATGTTAGGAATGAATCATTCTAAAGTGGGGTTGAAACACTAAACTTTTCGTGCCTGTCACTTGATCATAAGATTGATGCTGTCATGTTTTAAAGTTAATTGCTTGTATCTGGACTCTAAGCTTAAAGTAAAATTACATTGTCTCATCATTTCACATGTTTGCTTGAATGGTCAAATTTCAAAACATTTTCATTGAAAAAAAAACACAAATCGTGCTGTCTTCCACTGCTTTTAACATGTTTGTCCAATATTGCTCTGGGTTCCATGTTTTTTGTTGTTTTTTTGTGGGAAAAATATGGAATTTTGTGCTTTTGGCTTCTTGGCTAACACGTGCTTGGCCCCTCCCATATTGAAAATGCACGGTCCTGGAGTGGGTTTGAATTTACAAGCTTATGCAGGAGGATATGTGTTTGAAATAATTCAAGACATGTCCCCGAGGACAAATGATACGAGCAGTGTCCTTCTAATCTTTTCTTTGACCGATCCAAATTTCCAATGGGTAGTGTTCCCACTCACTTCTCAAAAAGTTTGTGGTGACATTTCAAATTGAAACCATTGTCACAGAAAAGTCTTTGCCCCACCTTTTAGACATGGTTTTGAGAAGCATCTCTACTTAGGTTAATCAGCATACAGCCACTGTTTTTCAGTTTGATTCCTACAGACTTATTTTTAACTTCTTAGAGAAAAAACTACTGCGCCTGTGTCAGCTTGTACACAGTAAACTCACGTCCCTGGGTGGGCTTGAACCACTGTTATAGGCAAATGCAAATATTACAAGTTTTAGAATGAAATGTTGTATTTCTTAAACTGTGTACTCTGTCTTTAAGATATATTGCAAATTGACAAGGTGTTAGAAATGGAACATATTGTTTTTCCTAGATGTTTCTTTAAGCAATAACCTCAGTGCATAATATGTTTGTGCCATTTTGTCCCAGACGAATTACAATAATGCATAATCAAGCTTCAAGGCTATACTACGACTCTTACAGTACACAATATACTGTGGAAACCCCAAGTTAATGGAACTTCCCCAAATCCGGGAATCTCCCATGACTGTACACTTACGACTTAGTTTAAACAACAGATAAGCTATTCAGACTTTAAGATGCCATCTTGAACTAAGTCAGGAAAATTTCCATGACGTATGCACCCTTTAGTTATGGCCTTGTATGTTTGCCAAGGTAAGGGAGGTCCTAAAATGAATAAAGTAAAAGAAGTGTTACTTATTCATATATGAACTAAGGTAACCCTAAAATGGAGACACCTAAGGTATAAATAGGTGTACTTTTAAATGTTAAGACACAGAGGAGAGACTTGGAGACAGACGCTGCTCCATCTTAAAATGACAGAGAGGCTGACATGATGACATGTTCAGAAGGGTATGTTAACCTATTAATGATATTTGCAAGCATTTAATTTAATCTTATAAACTCTGCTATAATAGATTTTATATTTATATTTTTATATAATAAATATCCAAAAAGACAAAACTATTGCTTCCAAGACAATCCTTATTAAGTGTTCTTGCATAGCAAGACCACTTAATGTTATCTCACATATATATTACTATTCTTATTATAGCCAAATTTGCCACCCTAACTCCTCCGAACAGTTTTTACACTACATAGACAAAAATTTACCAAAACGTGTAGATTGTTCCCGATCGGATTGCTATTACTTTGTGGAACGTTTCGCCGCATGGTTCACGGAATATCGTCATTCTTGTGGTGAAATTTGTCCCATAGGAATGAATGGCAAAGCTAGAGTGGGAGCTGGCAAAAGCTGAAAAATCAGGACATGATTTCTAAACTGCCACCACTCCCTTATTTTCAGGCCCACCTACACAAATCTTATATGAAAACGTTCAGCTATCCCTGCTGCCACTAAACATGTCAACGGCTAAGCCATAGTCCTGATAGTTTTCACAATATAATCATTTGTTTGCAACTAACGCCGTCCATTGACATTCATTGAAACTCCACTCTGCAATTCCCAAATTTGAAGGGCAATTTCTAAACTGCGACTGTGCCTTCATTTTTAATACTTCAGAGACATACTATGCATCAAAATGTAGGTCTGGGTCTTGTGATTCCCACAATATAAAGCTATTCGCTGTAGGATTTATAGGTTTTAAAATATGACCGTTTGAAGATGGCAACCGCCAAAATACTCTGACCTGTGCCAGGCTGCAGCAGCAAGTGATGTCATAGACAGGGCCTTTTGAACACCTGCTAATGTTTTTATAAATGTATGGTTTAATGTAACTGTGCAACAGTGTTGCAATTAAATGTGCTATGTAAATAATAACAGTTACTCCGCCCACTCCAGTTGTAGACTACTGGTGGAGGCAAGAACACTTCACATAATTTCCCCAGAAATTGTACCTTTTCTAGTATTATATTGTATTCTCAATTATTTATATATGTTAAATAGAGGATCTCTTACTAACTATATAAAATTATGGCTAAGATATCTGTATGGTTAGCCCTACTAAGTTCTATGCTTTAAGACATTATAGTGGTAAATAAGGGAACCACCTGTGGTTACAATTGGTGACCACGAAGGGACTTGTACTTGTAAGCTTTAACTATAAAATAATAAATACCTAGGTAACCTCTTATACGTAAGAGAAGACACAATACTTTGTCATGGCACAAGTCTTGAAATATCAAGAATCTATTGAGCTATTTGTAGCCCAGACTCAGAAAGAGATCATCATTAGAGATGATTTTAATGTGAACAAAGCACTTTGAGTTCAGGTGCAAGGTACATCATAATTAGCAAACAATGCTGAAATTGTGGATCTTAATTAATATCATAAGAGAACAAATATACATATTTGGTAAACTCCCTGATATGCCTAATACACCAGCATAGCATAGTCCATTAGTTCCAGGACAGTGGATTGCAGGCAGGGGGGTATGTTCTCTTTGTAGCTGCTTAGTATGCATGCGCAGGAAAGAGATTAATGCAAAATGATGTCAAAAGAAAAGTGATAAGACAGAGCGATAAAAAAAAGACTTGCTATTATATTACTAATAGATTTTGAAGTCTAATTCCAAGAATACAAAGAAAATTGCATTATGGATTAATGAAAACATTCATGACACAGACAGACAGTCCACTATATAAGAAAAGTTTTATAAAACAGTGATAATTTCCATATTGTAAGTTATGCTAGCTGTTGATTGAAAATCAGGAATTTTATCACATGACAGGAGGCTTCGTATTTTGCATAATCTTTCTTTACTAACTCCATAGCAGCAAAGAAAAGAGTGACATAACTGAGAACCAATCACAATGCAGTATAGAGTATAAGAGGTGTAACGTATGACATCATTTCCTCTTTCTGTGCTGCTCCATCACAAGATAAGTACAGACTTGGTTTCCCTGTCCTTACACTATTTGTCATATCTATTTCTGAACTATTATCTACTATCCTACTACTATTGTTACCTTTGGGGGCTTTCCCCTCCCCACCCCTTTGGCTCTGGGACCTTTTTTTACTGCTTTTATTAGCCTAACCCTTTATAGGAAGTCTTACCGGCACTCTCGCTGTCTTCACCTATACTTCCCAGTGTCAGACCTCTCCGCGGCCTTTTCCCGCCTTAAGCTTCATTCGCACATCATTTTCGCCTCGCTAATGGCACTTTCTGTTCACCCATTCGCATAGGCTTGATTCCTTTGCCGAACACTTAGCGTTCGACAAAACCCCCGCGATTGCCTTGTATTAGGCGCTCGTGTTTGCGCGTATTAGCTGAATGCTTGAACCACCTATTGGCGCTCGCGTTCGGCTGATTCGTACGTACGTTCGTGTAATTTTTGACGCCCTTTCATCTAAGGAAGGTACTAAACCTCCCATTTCTTACTGCTTTCAGTCCAGCGGCCATTTAAATGGCTACTACTGTCCTGTTGCAGACTCCAGTCTATTACTACTGCCAGATACTCTGGAATACACTCCTGAACTTTGCATCCTTATTAGCTCACTGTGGGACCAGTATCAGGTTAGTGCTTTGCACTTTGGGTCAGTATCAGCCAGTTTGATTACCCTTATTCTGGCAGGGGTGAGCCCCCATTCATGTGCTGCTGAACGGACCTGTCTATGCAGGATTCCAAATTCCTGGGTGAGCCCCAGTGACAGCCCTCGCTTGACCTACCAGTCATATAACACTTTCAGGTTAACCATTACCTATTTCTATACCCCCCCCTGGTCCCTAGGCCTCTCCATTTTTTGCCACAAGTGCCCTCACGCATATTCACCGGGTGAGCCCCGACTGTGATTAACATCATGTAAGAATCCCAAAATCCCTCAGATCTCCAGGCCATGATTGCAGCAGCAGTAGCTGCGTCCATGGAAAAGGCTTTGGCTAAGTCGTTCCAATTGGAACAAGACACATCTAAGCCCATTCCCAAACGGGCTCATTATGGGGCGGAATCTGAAGACTCTGATTCCTCCAGGGAACGCTCCCACCCCCCTAAGCACCATTGGAAAGGCGAGGCTATGGGACCACGTAAATCCAAAGGAAAGGCCCCTGCTAAACGCAGACAAGACACGAGCAGATCGTCCCAAAAACCCACTCAGGCTTCCTCTATGGAAGAGGACGCAGGTCCATCACATGCTCTAGCCGTGGTTGATGAATGGCAGACGGCTGCCTCCGACCAGGAGGAGTCTGACTGGGACTCCGCTGCCAAGACTGACCCTTATCTCATAGGGGAACAGACCCTGGGTGAGCCCCAGGACTCCGTGGCCACAACAATGGACACCCCACAAGAGGGTTCAGAAATATTCCTGGACAATTTTGGCCTCTGAATGTTCGATCCTAGGAACATTCGCCATCCCCGTTCGGAAGAATGGACGCCAACCGAACACTTGACCAGATTCATGCACTTCTGGCTCTGGAAGTCTCTGGACAAAGAAGTGAGAAAGCGTATGTGTAACGGCACCCCCAGGCATAAAAGGGTTAAAACGCCGTTTAGTAGATCTTCCCTTCCAGAGACACAGGCACAGCTACTGCAGAACACCAATCCGCCGAACAGGAAACCATATGAATGCTGTAAACAGCCGAATAGGAAAAACCATAGGAATAGGTTTACACTCCTAGCAGTCGAACTGGAACGGCATACAATAAATCCCCCCAAGAATGAGACAAAGCTCCGTGTTGAAGGTCAAGCAGTGAACAAACAGAGCTGTGGGTTTATTATGCTTATGTACACATTCTTACACATTAGTACCACCCACAGGGTTTTGGAACACAACCAATAAACACATACAATATACTCAGACACTCCCACACAAATTCTTCCCATCTGCATGTGATTCAATTACCTTACACAATGGGTAATGTAATTTAGCACAAGCAGAGAAATACAATTTTTCCACATTATTCATAACTTGAAAAGTATGCATCACATTCACATAAAACTTACATTTTCAGAATCAGCATACTCCAAATACAACCATACGTCAAAATCATACAAATTGGTCCAGTGGTTCAAAAGATAGATCGTAGTCCTTTGTGACCACAGGAAGCATGGCTTTTCTGCCCGAAACCAGTTCCACAGAGTCTTCTATCCTGGAGATAATTAGAAGTAATCCAATTATTTCCAAAGACAGAGGCAAAACTCCACTGAACACATGGCAGCAAAAAAACAGTAAAATACAATAAAATACACTTATGACATAAAATACAGACATGCGACATATGCCCAGATAGCTTAGGTCTGAGCGCACATTATTACTGAATGGCGCTCAGAGCACACACATACAGTTCAATTGCCATGGAGCCATAGTCTTTCCCATAGTATTTCATTATACGAATGGGCTCCATGGCATAGCTATCTGGGGTATCACTGCTCAAACAGGGCAAGCACCAAATGACCCGGCTTTCTTGTCTTTGTAGGGGAAAATCAAGCCTTTTAACATGGGGCCATAATCCAAAGGCAACAGGCGAGCAACCAGGCTTCTCCAATGCATTGCTCTCGTCACAGTATGAGATCTGAATGTCCTCGCCCGAGCCTACCAGATAAGGTAGAACACACCCTCGACCCCTTTATGACCACATTCATGTCCCGCGGGGGTCGGGACCCATGCAAGGGTGTGGAACGTGGCTTTAAGGGAGCCCAGGAGGATAGGCATCATCTGCCATGTCCATGATCCTCGCCAATGGCCCGATGGCGTCTAGTAGTTTTACTAGATGCCATCGGGCCATTGGCGAGGATCATGGACATGGCAGATGATGCCTATCCTCCGACACATGGATACTTCGGACAGTGCGGGGCTATCAAATAGAATTCGAGATGAGGCCACTCCAACAGGCCCCACCACGCCGGATTCAGTTTTCAGACGCTTTTTTGATAGACACGGAACTTCAGGACTTACACTCCAAGGGTGCCATCCAACCAGCTCCGGACTCAACCAGGTTCTACAGCAATATCTTCCTGGTCAGGAAGAAAACCGGGGAATTCCAACCCTCAAGGAGCTCAATTCCAATGTGGTGTACCGCCACTTCAAAATTGAGGTTATCCATCTTCTCCAGGACCTACTGCGAGACAACAACTGGTTTACGCCTCTAAACCTAAAGGATGCATACCTCACCATCCCTGTGCACGAAAGGAGCCGCTCATATCTCCGTTTCTACTGGCACGGGACACCTTGGCAATTCACCTGTCTCCCGTTCTGCCTCAGTTCTGCCCCATGGTGTTTCACCAAAATGATGAAGCCGGTAATGGAGAAACTGAGGGCCCAAGGCATAAGATGCATTGTCTACCTCGACGACATCTTGATATTCGACGAGGATGCAAGGACCCTAAAGAGGCACACAGACTACGCCGTACACCTACTCGACTCACGGCCCCAAGTCATCACTGACTCACGCTCAGTCGATCGAATTCCTTGGGTTCGAGATAGATTCAACATCGTGCACTCTACGCCTTCCGGCCGCAAAAATTGCCACCATCCGCAGAGAAATTCGGAAGGTACTTCGACTGACATCCATACCTTTACAAACAAAAACAGCAATATATGTGAACACAACCCCAGTGAAAAATATACAATTTGAAGCAAACCAGGACATCCCTGTGATTTAGGTGAAGTATCCAGGTAAATCCCCAAAGACTTCCTCTTGTCTTCAACAGGTATATACAAATAGAATAGGGGATAATCTGCTAAATGCAAATCAAATAAAAAAAAACAAATAAAATTTTAAAAAAAAAACGATTGCATTCCACTTCCGGGTTTGTGGAACGCAAGGTGGAACGCATACGGCGCACGTGATGACGTCATCCTGCTTTTTGCCGCCGAAATGGAAATTGAACACCGGCCGAAAATCTTTGAATAATCAATGGGGGATGTATAAAAGGACTGTGGGAGGGATAATTTTGATTGCTGCTATTACTATTATTGTATTTTATTTCACCCTGTCCCTGAGGAAGTCCAACTGAAGGACGAAACGCATAAGGACGTCTTTATGGTGACATGCTGTTTGTTTTATATCTCAATGTAAGTCATTAAATTACTTTTTAATATACTCTGGAAATGCACTACATTTTGTATATTTTTCTCTTTTGAGTTATATATACCTATTCGCTGATGAAATGTGAGGAGGGATAACACAGTGGATACTCAAGGCTTTTTCACATCAAATAATTTGTGAGTGACCAATTGTGATTGCATACTATTACTAGTCCCCACACAGTTAAATCCATACCTTTATGACTGCTAGCACGGATCGTGGGCCTCCTTTTGTCATCCTTCCAGGCCATCTTTCCTGGACCCCTACATTACAGAGCCATGCAACGCCTCAAGACAAAGTTCCTTTGCAAAGACCCAACATACGACCAACCAGCCCCCATGTTGGACGAGGTTCGGGAGGAACTGCACTGGTGGCTGAACTGCATGCAGGCCTGGAACGGCCGGGCGATATTCAGAAACCAACCAGACTTCATATTGGAGTCAGACGCCAGCCGCTCAGGCTGGGGAGCAACAGCAGCACCTCCTCCACGGGGGGAGTGTGGACTCCCCAAGAACTTTCGATGCACATCAACTATCTGGAGCTCCTGGCGGGATCGTTCGCCATTCGCAGTCTGGCAAAAGAACAATTCAACTGCTGCATCCTGCTCTGGATGGACAATGTCTCGGCGGTAAGATACATCAACCGAGTTGGAGGCACCCGCTCCCAAGCACTAGTAAAACTCACAAAGGAAATCTTCGATTATTGCCTGCCTCGCAACATCACGCTGTTAGCGGAACACCTACCAGGAGAAACCAACACGACAGCGGATTGGTACTTGTGCCACTGGAGGGACTGGCAACTAGACCCTCATATTTTCACAATTCAAGAAGCACAAAGGGGTCCCTTCTCCCTGGATTTATTTACCTCCCGCAACAACCATCAGACGAAGGACTTCTTCAGTTGGCTCCCAGATCCGGAGAGTCTAGCAACGGACACGTTCCTACAACAATGGCCACAACACGGGGCTTACGCATTCGCTCCATTCTCAATGATTACGAGGGTTCTCCACCGAATCTGCATGCAGAGGGTGATACTGACCCTCATCACACCTCTATGGCAAAGCCAACCATGGTTCCCGGATCTTCTGGAGCTGTCGAACAGGGATCCCCTCCTCCTACCAGATACTCCGACCATTCTCAGGAACCCTCACCTCCCTGTTCACAGCCGGGACGTCATACCGATCCATCAACGTGATACGTTCAGCCATCTCAGCGGCTCATACGCCGACTCAAGGGACACCAGTGGGCCAGAACCCACTCATCTGTAGACTCCTCCATGGCATGCGCCTTCGGCGCCCCCTGGAGCCCAAATACTCAAGACTTTGGGACGTTGCCATAGTCTTACAGTGTTTACAGGACTGGCCTCCTAACGAGAACATATCACTCCGCCAGCTTACGGCAAAGTTCACCTTCCTACTCTGCCTAGTCTCCTTTCGTCGGTGTCCGATGTACGCGCTTTTGATGCCAACGAATTTACCTTTTGCCCAGCAGGAGTAACCTTCCAGGTCTCTAGGCGCACGAAATCTGACTCTTCCTCTGTTTTTTACCCCTTTTTTCCCTCAGACCCTCAGCTCTGTGTGGTCTCTACTCTTCGTCAATACGTGGAAGCCACCGCGACGTTGCGGCCTACTTCCAATCGTTAACTTCTCATCTCTTACGTCCGCCCCTACTATCCAGTCTCGGTTACTACGTTGGCCAGATGGGTTAGATGGCTATTAGCCCTTGCCGGGATAGACCAGGCTATTGGAGCACACTCAGTTCGAGGGGCCGCGGCCTCTTCCGCCTACACGGCAGGGGCCTCCCTTCCAGATATTTTACGAGTGGCGGACTGAACTAGAGAATCCACCTTTGGGATGTTCTACTTCCGTCCTCCATCTAATCCAGCTTTTGCTCTACTTTCTCAGCGTTGAAATTGCAAAATACGAAGCCTCCTGTCATGTGATAAAATTGAAGATTATGCTAGCTTCAGTGTACAGATAATCTTAATTTTAATAATGACAGGAGGCGAGTATTTTCCCTCCCTGCTCTCTTTCGCTCTTCCCCCCCTCTGTCTTCATGTATATTTCTCTCTCTTTATTCACATGTTATTATTGTGCTAATGCCTAAGTTGGTTTTTCTCACACTTAATACAGATATACCATATGGGTGGGATGGTTTAGTTAGCATCAATAGATGGGAGGAATGTATTCGCTCTATTGCAATAATGATGGTATACTTAATCATAGGGGATAGACAGCTCATTGTTTTTACACAACCATATCTGGAATCTAATACCCTTTACATTCTCGTTTTGGTTTAAC